GGCATATCAATAACAGGTCAACACAGAATTCCCATTTTCTACCAATGCCACCACTTCATCCTCTTCAATAAATGGCTCCTCTTTTATTATTTAGACCAAATCCTAGAAGTCATGCTACTTCATGATAGAGTTTCTTCTTTCCCCGATGTAATTTATGAGTCTGAATCCATTTTACTGCTGACACCTTTTAAACTTCATCCCCATTCTTCCTCTTCTGCTTCACATCTGAGCAAGTTGATAAGAAAGCACATGTAGTCTCTCTCAATGTGGGACGAGTCTTAAAACTGATGGAGTTTTACCATTTGCTTGTAGACATGACTGCACATGCACAAAAATGGTCGAATGCATTTGTCAAGTTATGAGCACTGGGTATACTATACATACTGAGTTTAACTACCACGTAAAATCTTCAAGAAGTTAATATATGCAGAAGGGCAATGAACAGAGCAATGTGATATAATAAAAATATAATGCTAAGACTCATAGCTCTTTCTACAAGCACAGAGTAAAAATATTGAGTTATAAGAAGGCACTGACATCATTTATTTTTTTAATAATATATATTAATGTTTCTTGCAGTTGAGGGCTCCTTATATTTGGTGAATTATGGTATATAATCCAGTATTGTATCTGATTCAAAGAAAACCAGAACTGTCTGAGTCACAGCACAGCATGTTATCTTTATTTTACATTATAACCAAATTTATTGCATGCTTTTAAAAAGTACTATTCCCTTCTCTTCCTAGTTCATAATACACTTTTTTTTTTATAACTTTGGATGTTTGGGATTTAATGATCTTGACACAATATAATCATCCTTTTTGCACTAAAGTTTAAGATGAAAAAACAATGCCTAAATTCATGTTGATATATAGTTTTATGTTAGTTTGATTTGTTTTCAGTTAACAGTCCACAAACTACCAATGAGGAGTTTATTAAATATCCTTCCAAAGATCTATACTTGATTTAAATATTAAACTGCAGTTGACACTGACATTTACCTAATATATGGTTGCTCATCTCAATCAAAATACAAGTTTCTAGCTTTGTCAAAATAAAAAATATAGAAATATGAAATAAACATTTAAATTGACCATTACCTTCATTGTATTTGGATGTCATGGAATACTGCCAAGCCTCAATCTAAATATTTTCCACTTACTAGTGACAAGAAAAGATAAATTAAGAGTATATTACTTTAAAATGGAATGATGAATATATGAGAAAGTATGTGAAACTTTGAAAACATTTCTTGGAGTTTTTTTCCCTAAAGATATCTCTATATTTTTTGCTGGTGTTCTTGGAGGTCTGCTGTTTAAGAATTCATGACTTATCACAGAGGGGCAAAAGTATATATTAAGAAAGTGAGAAAGCCCTGTGAGAAATTCCACAGACATTTGTGTTCATTATCAGACATTTTATTTTACTTTAGTTATTTATTTATTTATTTATTTATTTTTCCTTTCTAGATTTTAGAGAGAGGAAGGGAGAGGGAGAGACAGATAGAAACATCAACAAGAGAGAACATCGATTGACCATCTCCTGCATGCCCCTCATTGGGGATTGGGCCCACAACCTGGGCATGTGCCCTGACCAGGAATCGAACCAGCAACCTCTTGGTGCATGGGGTCAACTCTCAACAACTGAGCCACACCAGCCAGGCCATTTTATTTTAACACAGAAGCACTCACAACTCTGTGTTTCCCCATATTCTAAGAGGAATAAAAATGAAGTAAAAGCCCTGGCTGGTTTTGCTCAGCAGTAGAGAGCCAGACTGTGGACCAAGGAGTAGCAGGTTCAATTCCGGCCAAGAGCACGTACCTCAGTTGCAGTTAGTCCTCAGCCCTGGTTGGGGTCATGTGGGAGGCAACCAGTCGATGTGTCCCTCTAATGTTGATGTTTCCCTCTCTCTCTCTCCACTATATCTGCAGATAAATAGGAAAAAATATACTCAATGTGAAGATTTAAGAAATAATAATTTTAAAATGAAGTAAAAAAAAAAAAGAATTATCATGGCTCCTTTCTAAATTATTCTAAAATAAAATAAATACTCAATTTTGCAATTCAAAACAAAAATAATAAATATTTTCCACTTAAACCCAAAGCATGGTTAGCAAAGGTAAATAAAACACTGAACACAAAGAACAGATGAGCTTAAATTGCATTTACTGTATGTTGGATTTGGGAAAAAGAAAGAATTCATAGATTATAAATTATTAAATAAAACGAGTTGCTAAGAATCAGAAAGGTTTTCTAAGAATGAGAAAGTCAAATTTTCTCACCCATCCTATTCTCCTAAATAATTGCTCTCTGGGCTCCTGTCTCAGGGAATAGTATAGACATGTATGACCAATGCAGAAACCTGGACATCATATTTAATTCTTCCTTCTCCCTTACCCCAATCACTGCACCTCTCTTGAACCAAATTCCTAAATGTCTACCTGTCTCTCTCAATCCCCACCTACTCTAGCCTAACATGTCTACCTGTCTCTCTCAATCCCCACCTACTCTAGCCTAACATCTGACCTAAACGAGGTCACACTTGGATTACTTACTGCGACAGTTTCATCATCAAACTGTCTACTTCCACCCTTACCTTCTTCTAACTCATTCTTCGGAGTAGCCTGGATTTTACTGAAGCAAAAACCTGATCATGACACTCCCAACATAAACCTTCCATGGCCAAAAAGATGCAGCTCCTGGAACTACATAAGCCCTCTTTGCAATCAAACATCTGCTTCCCTGTCCAGCATTCTCATACCCCTGGCTCTGGTCTTACTGAGGGCATCATTCTTCTAAATGACAAGCTTTGTCTTGCCTCTGGCTTTTGCACATTCTGCGGTGTTCACTCTCTGCGGTGATGGTCCTCCTATCCACCGTGCTAACAGATTCATCCTTTTAACATCCATATTTGTAACACACTTCCTCCTTTAGGAAAGCCCCTCTTGACCCTCAAAACTCATCTAAATTAGATGACCCCTCTGTGTGTTCCCACAGGGCTCAATCACAGTACTTACCATATAGTATCATATTTGCCTGATTAGTTTTTACCCTAGTATAATCTTTCCAAAGGCAGAGACTAGTTTTCTTTGTCGGCAACCCTTTAACACCTACCACTCTGAGTTTAAATAATATGCATGCAAATGCTCGCTGAACTAACAAATGATTTTACACACTGGTTACAAAGGAATCATTGACAGCTAGAAGACAAACTAAACTGCCTAAGATTCTGTTTAGGACTAGGACAGCTGGTATGGACCCATGGTGTAGCTTGTTTACAGGAGACCCTCTGGCAGCAGAGTAACCTGTATACATAAAGTATGAGAAACTCACTAGAACCCAGAAAGAGATTAAGAATATTAAAACTTCTGTTCCATTATATAAAATGTAGCTGAATATTTCTACCTGGTTATATATAGTTCTTTATTAGTAAGATTATATCTTTAATATATTTAATAGGATGGTACCTGATCTTAAACACCATTATAAGCTCATTTAACCAAGAATTTATTGGGAAAACAAATTATATATAACCTGTGTTCACAAATCTTTGAAAAGTAAACTGTAAGAATTCTATATTGATAAAGATAAAATATAGTCATAACATAGAAATTTTTAAACCAGATCCATAAATGATCCATTTTATGATACCAAACAACAGATAGAATCATGTCACCTATTCAATCTCTATGATTCACAATGATAAAAATGAGGTCCCCAGAAGGTAAGAACTTCTCAAGGCCACTTTATACTTTTCTGCCAAGAGGTAACCAATATTACAAGTTTCTTGCATATCTTCCCAGGGGCCTTTATCCATATACAAGCAAATACCTGTTTTCTCATTTTACACAAAGAGCAGAAATGTTCTGCACTACATAAAACACACACACATTTGAGTCCTGTGCCCATATTCCATAGGAATAGCCATCAAAGGATGCAAACAGTTACTAATTACAGTAGAGGCAAACAATATAGTGCTTAATTAAGAGTGCAGGTTCTGGAATCTGAAAACCTACTTGTTTACACATAGTGTAACCTTGGGCAAGTTACTAAATCTCTTTAAACCTCAATTTCCTCTGCTGTAAATGAGACTACATTAGTCTCTCCCTTATCTTAGGGGGATACATTCCAAGACCCCCAGTGGATATCTGAAATCACAGAAGTACAAAAACCACACACACACACACACACACACACACACAATGTTTTTTCCTATACATACATATCTATGATAAAGTTTGCTAGTTCTCTTTGGAATATCCGAATTGCCAGTATCACTACTCTTGCGCTCCAAGCACAATTAAGTAAAAATAAGGGTTACTTGAACACAGTGAGATACCACAACAATTGATCTGATAACCAATATGGCTACTAAGTGACTAACGTGCAGGGATCATATACAGTGTGGATACTGGACAGAGGGATGATACACACTCTGGGAAGGAAGGCTCAAGAAGGCTCAAGATTTCATTATACTACTGAGAAAGTCGCACAATTTAAAACCTATGAATTGCTTATTTCTGAATTTTCCATTTAATATTTTTGTACCACAGTTGATCGCAGGTAAAAACCATGGAAAGCAAAACTGCAGATAAGTGGGGACTACTATACCAATACACCATACCCCAGAGGTGGAACATTAAGTAAAATAATCCATGCAAATCACTTAGATCCTGAATGTTGTAAACAATGGCTGAATTAACAAAGATCTAAAACCCGCCCAGCCGGTGTGCCTCAGTGGTTGAGCACTGATCCATGCACCAAGAGGTCACCAGTTCGATTCCTGGTCAGAACATATGCCCAGGTTGTGAGCCAAATCCCCAGTGACGGGCATGCAGGAGGCGGCCAATCGATGTTTCTGTCTCTCTCTCCCTCTCCCTTCTTCTCTCTCTAAAATCAATAAAGGGGGAAAAAATACCTTCTTAAAAATATATATATATATATATATTCACTCAAAATAACATGTTCATAGAGTCAAATACAAATTCAACTTAACTTACCACTTTTTTAAAATCATCTTCTGCTTCATCAAGTTTTCCTTGTTTGAGTAATAAGTGACCTCTCTGTAATCTTGCCTAGAAAAAAAAGAAGGGGGTGGGGGGTGTTCTGAGTACAATGCATTTCTAAATTTTCTTTAAACACAAAGAATAAAACTAAGTTAATGAAGTATTAATGAAATATTTATTTTCCAGTGCCCATTTGACTTAGCACTCTAAGAGTATTTCCTGGGACCAACAAATATGTATAATTTTTGATCAAGTATCCTTCCTTAAAGATACTTTCAGCTATACATAAAATGCTGAAAACATGTCCACAGACACTCTTGTTCAAGAATGTTCACAGCAATAGTCAAAAAGTAGAAATAACCCAAATTCCCATCAACTAATAAATCAATAAGCAAATGTGATATAGCCATACAATGGAATTACTATTCAGCCATTAAAAAAAATCAAATACGGGAACATGCTACAACATGAACCTTGAAAACATTATGCTACGTGAAAGAAGTCAGATACAAAAGGCTACATTACTGTATGATTTCATTTATGTGAAATATCCAAATTCCATAGAAACAGAAAAATAAGGGGTTGCCAGGGGCAAGGGAAGATATGAGAATGACTGTTAATGAGTACAGGGTTGCTTTTTGAGGTGATAAAAAGGTTCTGGAACTAGATAGTAGTGATGCTTGCATAACCTTGTGAAAATATGGATAGTGCCCAACTTATGACTGCTTGACTTACAATTTTTCAACTTTACAAGGATGCAAAAGTAATACGCATTAGTAGAAACCACACTGTGAATTTTTAATTTAGATCTTTTCCCAGACTAGCAATATGTGGTGTAATACTCCCTTGTGGCGCTGAGGAGCACCAGTGAGCCATATAGCTCCCCATCAGCCAATAATCAAGAGGGTAAACCACCAATACCCTACAGTCTACAGTGTACTGTCTTGTACTTTTTGGATATCGGGTTTTGCACCCCATCATGTCCACAAAACATCCATCTGTGTGCCAGTGTGCTTTCAGCTGGGTACGTTAATAGTGAGTACCTATACACCCATTCTGTTTTTCACTTTCATTATTCAACAAAAAATATGAGATGTACAACACTTTATTATACAATAGGCTTTGTGGTAGGTGATTTTGCAAAAACTGTAAGGCTAATGTAAGTTTTCTGAGCATGTTTAAGGTAGACGAGACTAAACTATGATGTTCAGTAGGTTAGGTGTGTTAACTGCATTCTCAACGCAGGATATTTTCAAAGTCTGATGGGCTTATCGAGATATAATCCTATCATAAATCGAGGAAAATCTGTATTAAAAATCCATAATATAAAGATGAATTTTTAAAAAATAAACAAAATAAAAACCACTGAGTTATACACTTTTAAAAGGGGTGAATTTGCCCTGGCCGACTCAGCAGTTACAGCGTCGGCTCGCAGACCAGAGTCAGGGGTTCAATTCCGGTCAAGGGCATGTACCTCAGTTGCAGTTCAGTCCCTAGTCCTGGTGGGGCAATGCGGGAGGCAACCAGTCAGTGTGACTCTTTCACATTGATGTTTCTTTCTCTTTCTCTCTTTCTTTCGCCCTCTCTTTCTCTTTCTCTCTCTCTCTCTCCCCCCTCCAACCCTCCCCCCACTCCCTCCCTCCCTCCTTCCCTCCCTTTGCCTCTTTCTCTCCCTCTCTCCCTCCCACTCTGTCTGAAATTAAATGGAAAAATATCCTTGGGTACTATGCAGCGGTAAGAAAGAAAGATCTTGTATCCTCTGAGATGACATGGAGGGACCTGGAAAGTATTATCCTAAGTGAAAGAAGCCAAGCAGAAAAAGACAAATACCACATGATCTCACTTATACACGGAATATAATGAACATAACAGTCTGAGGAATACAGTAGACCCAGACACATGGAAGTAGGGCACAGACTGACATCCCTCAGAAGAGGGGATGGGGGGGTGGGAAGAGATAAACCACAGAACTTATATGCATGTATGCATGACCAATGGACATGGACAACTAAGCCGGGGACGGGGCGGAGGTGGGGAGGGGTGGGGGGTGCCAATGGGGTAAAAAGTTAAAATGTCTGTAACAAAAAAATAAATAAAAATTCATAAAAAAAAAAAGAAAGAAAAATATCCTTGGGTGAGGATTTGAAAAAAAGGGGCGGGGAGTGAATTTGATGGTATGTAAATTATCTCAGATTTTAAAAATACTTTTTGCCACTATAATAAATAGTGGCAAAACTATTTCCAGAGCTTTGATTAATAATTTAGGAACTTATTTATTTTTTTAATCCTCACCCGAGGACATTTTTCCATTTTTTGTTCAGATAGAGCGGGAGGGAGAGAGAGGAAGAGAGAAACATCGACATGAAAGGCACACATCGAGTGGCTGCCACCCGCACAACCAACCAGGGCCGGGGACAAACTACAACCGAGGTACGTGCCCTTAGCAGGAACCGAACCCGGATCTCTCTGTACCGCAGGCCGACGCTCCAACCGCTGAGCCAAACCGGCCAGGGCAATTTAGGACTTTATTAATCAAAGCTCTGGAAATAGTTTTGTTTGTTTTTATTAACTTTCAATGTAATGGTTACTCCAGTATAACCATTTTCTTCCCCTCTATCTCTGATATTCCTCTTCTTCTAATATGCATAATCCCATCTCTTCCAAGAATTACCATCTTTCTGATGACCGAAGTCTACCTTAAGAGAGAAATCATGTAACTTCCACTCAAGATGATAGAGTAGATAAACTGAAATCACCTCCTCCCATGATCATATCAAAGTGCAATTATAGACCAACCATCAGCAAGAACCACCTGATGACGAGCTGAACAGAAGTCCTATAACTAAGGATATAAAGAAGAAGCTATGTCAAGAGTGGTAGAAGGAGTGGAAATGTGGGGCAGGCAGGTTCCACACCCACCCACAGTATGATGATTAAGAAACAGGAATATCTCAGGCTGCAGGGGTCCCCGCTGAGGAGCAGCAGGTCATAGCCCAATACCCAGCTCTCCAGACCTGGGCACCAGTACCAGGAAGAGGAGTCCCCATAACATCAGGTTATAAAAACCAGCCTGGATTGCATCCACAAAAGACAAAGGGCTACAGGAAACCAAGACACACTGGTCTTAAAGGGCCAGCACACAAACTCACTCAGTCTTAAACTCACTCACTCTAAGCTGCTGCACAGGGGCAGCAGTTCAAAAAGCACCAGGGACATACAGGAAGAGAACTAAACTGACTAACTTCAGGGCAAGGGCTGGAGGGACAGAGGTTGGGGTAATTCTCTCTAGAAACAGAACACTGTCAGGCACCATTATTCCTTTGTGGAGAATTCCTCCCACCCAGCTAGCCTGGTACAGACACCCAATCTGTGCTTTCCATTAACTGGGCTAACACTGGTGATTTCCTAACACTCTATTCAACTCAGTTGCCCAACCCAGCCCCTTCCAGTGCCTCATCCACAATGGCCTGCCTCAACTCATTCTGCAAACTTCCTGCAATCTCTCAAAAGTCCACAATACCCTAACAAGCAGCAGCCAACCTCAGCATGACTTGTAGCTCTTGCTATGTGGCCCCAAGTCCAGCACAAGCAGAAACCAGTCTCAATTTGCATTTTCACTCCCATCAGGTGGCCCCAAGTCTAGCATAAGAAGTCGCTAGTCTTGACCAAGAATGTAACTCCAACTAAAAGGCCACAAGCTGGCCACAAGCTGGTCACAAGTGGCAGCTGGCCTCAGCTCACATCGTAGTGCCCACCAAAGAGTCCCAAGCCTAAGACAAGTGGCAGCAGACCTCGCTTTTCAGCATAGCCTCTTCCAAGGACCTCCAAGCCCAGCAAAACCGCAGCTGACCTTGCCTTCTACCAGAGTCCCTCCCAAAAGGACACCAACACATCGGTGGCCAGCTTTAGGTCACACCACAGCTCCACCCAATCAATTCCACAAATGACACATGCAAAAGGGTGGCCTTGGCCAGCACCAGAGCCCCACTAAAGTGACTCCCCTGCAGAACAGCTTGACTGCTATAATCATGGCCAGCCCTCATAACCAATCAGCCTGAGGGTCAACCCCACCCACTGATGTGCCAGCAGCAATCAAGGCCCAAATACAACAGGAAGGAACATATAACCCATACAGGGGACACCCCTGGAGAATCTGGCTCAGGTGACCTGGGAAACTGTGCCACTGGGACTCACAGGACACCTTGTACATAAAGCCACTCTGTCAAGACCGGGAGACATGGCAGATTTACCTAACACATAGAAACAAACACAGGGAGTCAGCCAAAGTGAAGAAACAAAGAAACATGTACCAAATGAAAGAAGACAAAATTCCAGAAAAAGAACAAAATAAAAAAAAAAGACAAGCAATCTACCATTTATAAAACCAAAATCAAAATGGTTTTAAAGCCTTCCACAGCCACAGCCATTGAGGAACAGCAGCCATGGCTCTGCGCTATCCGATGGCCGTGGGCCTCAACAAGGGCCACAAGGTGACGAAGAACGTGAGCGAGCCAAGGCACAGCCCCCGCCGCGGGCGCCTTACCGAGCACATCAAGTTCGTGCGGGACATGATCCGAGAGGTGTGTGGCTTTGCCCCCTATGAGTGGCGTGTCATGGAGCTGCTCAAGGTCTCTAAGGACAAGAGGGCCCTGAAATTCATCAAGAAAAGGGTGGGGACACACATCCGTGCCAAGAGGAAGAGAGAGGAGCTGAGCAATGTCCTTGCAGCCATGAGGAAGGCAGCAGCCAAGAAGGACTGAGCTCCATCATGTGTAATAAAATCTGTTAAGAAAAAAAAATGGTTTTAAGGACGCTCAATGAACTTGGGAGAAAAACAGATGAACTCAGTGAGAAGTTCAACAAAGAGAAAACATGTTTAAAAAGGATATAAAAATAGGAACATATCAGAACTGAATACAATAACTAAAATGAAGAATATACTAGAGGGAATCAACTGCAGATTAGATGAAGCAGAGAATCAAACCAACAATCTGAAAGACAAGGTAGTGGAAAACCCCAATTGGACCAGCAAAATTAAAAAAGTTTTAAAAAATAAGGATAGTTTAAGG